GCTATGTAGTGAGCTAGGTAAGTCAGTTGGCTAGCCAGCTGGCTAGCTAGTTAAATAAGCTAGTTATGATAGCTGGCTAGCCAACTGGCTAGGAAGGTAGCTAGCTAGTTAAGTCAGCTAGATAACTACCTGGCTAGCTAGTGATGTCAGCGAATTAAGTCAGCTGGCTAGACAAATGGCTAACTGGTTTAGTCAACTAGTTTTAGTCAGCTGTCTAGCCAGCTGGCTAGGTAGGTAGCCAACTAGACAAGTCATCTTGCTAGCCAGCAGGATAGTTTTTCAAGTCAGGTAGTTAAGTCAGCTGACTAGCCTGCCTGCAATGTAGATAGGTAGCAAGTTAAGTGAGGTGGCTAGCCAGCTTGCTATCTTAAGTCAGCTAGGTAAGATAGATGGCTAGCCTGCTGGCTAGATAAGTAGCCAGCTAGTTAAGTCAGCAGGCTAGCCAGCTGACTAGCTGGATAAGTCAGCTCGATAAGTCATCTGGCAACCAGCTAGCTAGCAAGGGATGTCAGGAAGTTAAAACAGCTGGTGTGCCAGGCTCGGTGGCTCAGCCTGTAATCCCATGCCTTTGGGAGGCTGAGGTGAGTGGATTGCCTGAGCCCACGGGTTCGAGACCCGCCTGGGCACGCGAGACTTCATCTCTACAATAAATCAAAAAAATTAGCTGGGTGTGGTAGCGCACGCCTGTAGTTCCTGCTACTTGGAAGGCTGAGGCAGAAGGATCGCCGGAGCCCAGCAGGTCGAGGCTGCGGTGGCCGGGAGCGGCCACTGCACTCCAGTCTGGGTGACAGAGTGAGACTCCAACTCAAAAAATAAAATAAGAAAAAATAATAATAATAATAATAATAATAATAAATTTGGTCTTAAAACTATTCAATAAATATTTAATTCCTACACTATTCTAGGTACTATGCTATGCATTATACATAAATAACAATAAATAGGATACCATTTCTACCAACAGGGAGCTTATTCTAGTGAACTATTAATGTTAATATTCAGATAATACAAAGCAGTTGATATGCCACATACCATGTCAGGTGCTATTATGTACTTTGAGTTACTTTCTAAATATTATATCGATTTGGTTTGGCAGCAATGCATGTTATTTATGAATTTAAGTAAAAATTAAAACCTTTTTAGTGGCCAAGGTCACAGAAGAAACTACTGTGAGCATTAAGCCAAGATAAAGAAGAATGGATAACTAGAAATTAAAACATGTTTTATGACTGCACGAGGGAAACAAAGAAAAAGTAAAGCTCGGCCAGTAGAAATAGGCCAAATAACATAGAAGAAAAATTCCCTAACCTGGAGTATGTGCACAGATTGGAAATGGGCTTTTGTTCTATTATCTGTTTCTTTCTCATTTTTTCTTGTTGAGAAAAAGTATCCAAAAGCTGGAAAGAAGACAAATATATGATTGAGTGACCTTTTAAATCATGCATATTGACAATGCATGATACTGAAATGAGCTTCACCTGAGGCTCATTTAATGTTCTCAGGGGCCAGGTGCCATGGCTCATGCCTATAACCCTAGTTCTTTGGGAGGCCAAGGCAGGAGGATTGCTTGAGCCCAGGAGTTCAAGATCAGCCTCGGTAACACAGTGAGATCTCATCGCTACAGGGAAGAAAAAAAAGACAAAAACACTAACTCAACTTACTCAGGAAATGTAACTGTTTAACTAAAAACTGATTAGAGCCCTAATGTTTTAAAACCTTGTCAAGGTAGCAGTTAACTGTAGAAAAATGATAAGATACTGGTCCTCTACCTGCCACTATCCTGTATAGAAGATAGCCAGCCCATGAAAACTAGTTTTATTGCTTGGTTATATATGATCCAAATCTGTATCTAACCTA